CCTACAAGGTTACTAGACACTTATCGGCCTGCTCTGTCATCAGCAGCTTAAAGGTTTGACTATCTACATTTATAATTAACCTTGTAATGCACTCATTTTCTTTCCATTTTATCCCACTTCTGCTCCAGCTGGTTGCTGAGACAATGCAGGAAGAAGAGAGATCAAACTTTCGAATCGCACATTCTTTAATGGTATTAGTTGCCCGGAAAAAAATAAAAACAAAATCAAACGCTTCCACTCCCAAAAAGGAACAAACGCAAAAGAAAAATCCCAACACTCCAAACATATTACCCTGAATTTTATAGCAACTAAATGGGGGATTCTAGTCATTCATCCAAAGACTTAACCAGAAAATATAGAGTCCTTTCAGCACAATCATATGATATGCTAAATCGGTTTACATTTCGGTAACCTATATACAGATGCAATCTCGCAACACTGACCAAAATCAATCACCAATAAAACATACATTAAACACTGAGTAACTAAGAGCGGGAGAGAGAGAAAGAGAGAAGAGACATACGTAGGTGTTCAACTGCCTAACAAAGCTAGAGAAGTTATTGTGCTTGAAGTACTTGGGCAGGAGGTCCCTAGCGAACTCCGGCGGGTTCCAAACCACGAAGCTGTTGTTGGTGGGGCTCCAGGACACGACCGGGTCGGTAGCCGGGTCGTCCACCATGTCGTACGTCTTGCTCAGGAACGGCGGCGGGGCGTTGGAGTTCAGTAAGGGCGCCGGCGCCGGAGCCAAACTTAAACCCGAATCCGCCTGGTGTGCGCCGCCGGCCGCTGGTATCTCGTCGCCGTTGTTGTTATTAGCACCCTCCATATCGGCGTGGAACAAACTGATTGTAGAATTGAAAAATAAAACAATGAGAAAGAAATGGAGATTGTTGACTAGGGATTCTCAGAAGCCATTAACATGGTAGAGAGAACTTGGGTTTAAAACCCTAGCCTGCTTCTTCTATTCTATCAGAGAGAGAGAGGGAGGGAGAGGGGGAGAGAGAGAGAGAGAGAGAGAGAGAGAGAGAGGAGTCTGTGTTGTGTACGGACAGTGGGTGGGAGTGGCGAAGGATAGGGTAGGGAGGTAGACAAAGGGGAGACCGGCGCACGAAACGGGGACGAACAATTTGCCTCTTCGGGAGTCTGGGGAACGGATGATGTTCCTCCACCTTTCCAATGTTATGAAAAATAGTCAAATTTTCAACATTCAAAATTTTTTATTTTGGGTCAGCAACATTTACACCTTCTCTTTCCATAAAACCATATAAAAAATAAATAAAATAAAACCGTTAAAACCATTTTAACTTAAAAAGATTTAGATTTTAACTTATGAATAGTTTTTCTTCTATAATGATTGTGGGTTAAATTTTAGAAACATTAACGAAAAGTTTCTGGTACTGTTCACTTTAACAAAAAGTCACATTTTTACACTAAAAAGTCAATCTTAGTACTATTCACTTTACATTTTAATTTATCTTTATTGTTAAAACTCAAAGTTTTCAAATTATTTTCATTAGTTTTCCTTTAAATTTTAGACTGAGATTATTAAAGATGAATTTAAGCTAAATTATTTTCGGTAACTTTTTTTAAAGTAAAATTTATTTAGATTATTATTATTTATTTTTATGAACATTTTAACTTAAAAATATCTATGATTTAAAATAAACTAGGAGTAGTATAATTTACATGGTAAATATAAACCATATATACAAATTGTTATAGCCCGTCCTGGAAATTCAAGTATTTTAATTTGCAGAGACGTGAAATGACCAAAATGAAGGAAAAGTGTTGACTTTGGTTGACCTTTGAGCCCGTGACACATGTGACCTATCAAATTAGCATATTCTCATAGTCCTTGATGATACGAATACGTGATCGCAATTTGATCAAAATTCGGAGTTACGGTGAAGATTCTACCGAACTACAAAGTTCAAGGCATTTTAGTAATTTTAATCCTCTAAATATTTTCCTTTTTATTTTTTTAATCATGTTTGGGTTTTGGGTCCAATGGGGCTCACCCACTCTATTCTCTATGTCTATCACTCTTCCATTACAACTCCACCTTATTTCTCTCTCATTTCTCATTCTTCTCCGAGACAACACACGAACACCATATCGGCTTCGCCACCATTCACCATCAAATCAATCCACCCCAACCACCATCACTACTTTCCCGGTAATTTTCTCGTTGATTCCGACCAAAGAAAGCCATGTGGTTACGACCAGTGGATTTCTCTCGTCGAGTAGATGGATTTTGACATATTGCATGCATGAAATGGTTGAGATTTAATGTAGATCATTGATACGGAAACCTTTTTAGTTTCCGACGAGTTACCTGATATCCGACGAGGAGGTTCCAACCAAATGGCAAGGAATGTTCGAGTGTGATTTTTTATCGTTGTATTTGTCTCAATGCAAAAAGCTAAACCTAACTCCTTGAACAGAGCTTGGATGACGGATGGTGGAGAGGTGACGATGCGACAAAATTTGGCAAAATATGCAAAAATCGGTAATTGCAGTGACGACCAGTTCAAGTGCTTGAACCAAAATATTCCAAGATATATTCTTTCTGAATATTCTGTTAGATACTAACGAAATTTTGTCTCGTGACAAAATATTCCTTTCTATGGTCGTACCTCCGCCACTAGTGTATGTTGGCGTGTGGAAACGCGTTGTGCCCTTCTGCAGGCGTGTGGCGGTGCATGGAGGTGTTTGGCAACCTCTCGTTGCCACGTGGTGGTGCGTGGAGGCACATGCGTCATTGCGTAAGAGAATTAAGGTCCCTTATTTGGTTTATTGACGTGCTAAATCAAATTTCACTTTTCATTTTTCCACTAGTTTAGTATAGTTTCTTCAATCATCCTATTTTGTGCAAATACGTGATTTTACTTTTGTCCGTATTATTTATTAGTGTGGTTTCATATTTAGGTGAAAACATATATCAAGGACCTTTGAAGCCCCCGAGGTGGCTTCGATTAGAGAACATGTTTGTAAGTGAATTTTTCTTCCTAAACCATTCTTCCTAAACCATCATATTATATGTTTTCTGAAGTGTTTTTATGATATGCTTTCACATCATCATTTGCTTTACTTTTACCGCTTTTGCAAAGTTTTATGTGATCTTGATGGTTGTAATCAATATGCTTCATGAACTTTTATTGGGAAACATTTTACTACAATGCATTGCTTTCTTGGGAATTATAATGGTCTTGCGATATTATGATTGGTGATATGTTGATTTGAGTTATTATCCATGGAATGTTTTCATGTGATTTACTTGTTCATTCTGTATGTGTTACACAGTGTCCATAGATTCTTTATTTATTTAATCTATCAACTAGGTTCCTTGTACAACCTCCCCACTTGGGGACACAACCTAAAACCAAATTCCATTTTTATATCACATCGATCAGAGCATAATTGTAGTGCACACATCAATAAACCGCAAATTATGCGTTGTACCATTTATAACCAATAGTAATGTTATACAATTTATTATAATTTAATAAGAACAAGTAGAAGAAAAACTACCCTACAATGTAGGATGTCCGCACTATTGCCACGCCCACTCGCCTTTCTCAACGTACGCCTTGCACTTGCTATGACTTGAGGGGGCGCAAAACAAAATGTGAGTGGATTAAAATTATTAATCAAGTAAAATCATTTACTAACCCTTGTTTTGTAAAACATATATAGTTGGAAAAACTGTATAATAGTATTTACTACTATAATAGTAAATGAAAATCACAATCAAATCATCAATCGAAAACACTCAAGTGATAGTTTAGAAATCATACATGTATTCAAATAATCACACTAGCATCTACTATCATAAGTATTGCATGCAGGGTATACTAGCCTCAACCAGCTAAGTTCTCTACTGGTAATAATATTATTCCTAGCTTCTACTAGAAAAGTAACACGTGCAAATAACCTGCAAATTTCTAGTTTCCTTGAGCTTGTCTCAGATCGAGCCTTTTATGCCCCTTTCTTCCTCTGTTGCTAATCCCTGTCGTCATTTCTTCGCTGCCGACATTTAATACTAGGCCCATCACGTGTTTCCTATCGGCGGTGCACTTTGGTGTTAGGGGTTATTAAAGTGTTTAAACATTAATTTGTATGATTATGGGGGCACTCTCACTCATCCCTATTTTTCGTTCATGCAGCTTGTTTGTGGGTTCTTTCTTTTGATTGTGGACTTGCTCTTTTTAGGCATAAATATTGTATTTTCTTTTAGACTATGCTTGTTTTTGGACTCATTTCATTTACTCAAAAGAATCTACAAGTCCAATCGTTGACTCCTACCCGTGCGTTACTTTCAAGGTATAAAATATCGATGATATCGGAAATATCGGTAGTCTAAAAACACGGAAATTTCGATAAAAATATGGGGATATTATTGATATAGTTAAAAATTGAATAAAAACCACGAAAATTATAAGAAAAACTTGGATATTTTCATTGAAACTCTGCAAGATGTTTATTTAGTTAATTATCTATTAGTTTATCACAAAAAATTGGAAGGAAATGCATTGCATGATGGATTTAGTTGATTTAAGTTGATTATATAGCGAGCTGGAAAACATTGTAAGTGCAGAAAATATGTAGTAATTAATGAAAGAAGTTTAAATATACCATAATAATTTATTTATATATAATGAATTAGTACAATATTTACACTTCATACATTGCATGATAAGATACATGAGTGACTTAGTATCACATAGAGTTCATCAAAGTCTAAAATATCGATGATATCGGAAATATCGATACTCTAAAAACACGAAAATTTCAATGAAAATATTGGGATAATATCGATATTTTAGAGCTTGGTCACTTTAGCTAAATTCCAACCGTCCATTCTTCCATCTCACACGCGCTTCTTTGCCCTGCGCGAAGCCGCATCCCGTCCATAGATTATGCCACGTGTACGCCGGTTACTTTATCCGTCCCCGACTTTAGTAACCCTAGTCGAATCTATATATATCCACACCTCTCGTCTCTCTCTCTCTCTCCCTCTCTCTCCCTCTCCCTCTCCCTCTCTTCCGTCTGCAATTTTCGATTTCTTCAAAGCTCTAAAACAACGAAGAAACTCTCTCTTTCTCTCTCTCTTCCGTCTGCAATTTTTGATTTCTTCATAACTCGAAAGCAACGAAGAAACTACCAATTAGGGTTTCGTCTTCGGAGCTCCGATTTTGTATGCGGGATTATATGAGTGTTTTGTATAGCATTCTGTGGATTCGTTGTGTTGCGATTCAATGGCGGAGCGGAGGTTCGGTATAGGCTATGCTTTGGCGCCCAAGAAGCAGCAAAGCTTCATCCAAGAGTCGCTGGTCGACCTAGCCAGATCGCGGGGCATCGATCTCGTTCGGATCGACACTGAGCGCTCGCTGGCAGATCAGGGGCCGTTCGACTGCGTGCTGCACAAGCTCTACGGAGACGATTGGAAGCGGGAGCTGGCGGAGTTCAGGGTCAAGAACCCTGACGGGGTTATAATCGACGCGCCAGAGGCGATCGAGCGCCTGCACAATCGGATTTCCATGTTGCAGGTGGTTTCGGAGCTGAGAATCGAGCATGAGAGCGACACGTTTGGGATTCCAAAGCAGATTGTAATATACGACAAGGAAACGCTGTTTGATCGCCAGGCGTGGGAGGGTCTAAAGTTTCCGGTAATCGCGAAGCCGCTGGTGGCGGACGGCAGCGCCAAGTCGCACAAAATGGCGCTGGTTTTCAACCACGATGGTCTCGACAACCTCAAGCCCCCAATTGTGCTTCAAGAATTTGTGAACCATGGCGGCGTCATCTTTAAGGTGTACGTGGTTGGAGGGTATGTCAAATGCGTGAAGCGTAAGTCACTTCCGGATGTTTCCGAAGAAGAGAAATTGGGGAGCTTGGATGGCTTGATGTCGTTCTCACAGATATCGAATCTTGCAAACAATGAGAGAACTGATGACAAGTATTACAAAATGATGCAGCTGGACGACACTGAGATGCCGCCGCAGAGTTTCATCACTGATATTGCAAGGGGCTTGCAGCAGGCAATGAAGTTGAACTTGTTTAACTTTGATGTGATTCGGGATGCGAGGTTTGGGAACCGCTATTTGATAATCGACATTAATTACTTTCCTGGGTACGCCAAAATGCCTGGCTATGAGACTGTGTTAACGGACTTCTTTTGTGACATTGTGCAAAAGAAAGAGAAAGATGGGGTGGAAAGCACTGGTTTGGACAGTTACGAGGTTCTTAGCTGCGACGATGAAGTGAGGAGGATTGTAAGTTGTGATGGAGATGATGGGGGTGATCTTAACGTAGAAGAGGAGAACCGAATTCAAGTTTAAAAGGCGGTGTGGCCTCTTCGTCTGATGGTTGGCTGGCAGGTTATTCGGTGATTCATGGACGAAGTTGAGCTGCACATTAGGTTTAGATAGCAGTTGGGGTACAGTGCTGAAGTGAGTAGGTTGGCTCTTGGTTTTAGCTTTAACTTCTTGACAACAAGATTACATGAAGTTCAGTGTCGATCGTGTATATTCCATCCACCAATGCTCTGGAGAAGGTACTTCTCAAAATACTCTGCTGAAGTTTTAGCCTTTTAGGAAAATCAAGTTGTAATCTGAGGCTTTAAAGTCTTTCCTTGCCTAGAAGCTGTTTTAGTTTGTGCCATAGGCACCATTTAGTTAATGGATTTTGGCCTTTTGGTTAATGATTTTTTCATTTTTATTCTTTTATGCTTTTTAGTTTCTGTTGAATTTATCAAATTTATGATACTTTTTTCTCCTGTTCTTGAAGTATTTTGTTCTCCTGTTGTTTAATGCGGCTTGAATGGATTGCATCAAAAGGTATCTAATTAATGCTCTGTCGATCAAAATTTTTCAGGAAAACATTTGACACAGTAACTTTCTTTGTAACCCTTGGTTCGTTTTGTATGTTGGAATCCTCATGTCTAAAAAAGGGAAAGAGGAGACATAATAGATGGAAATACTTTCATGAAATTCCATGTCTAGCTCTTACGATTCGACCCTCACTTTTGTCATTACATTGCCTTTTCTGTTGTAGGCTAGTGATCCATGGTCTTTCTCATGCCACCTGAGAATCAGAAAGTTTATTAATTATTAAACTCTTTGTTTTTAGTTTGAAATGCTAGTGGTATTTTGGACTATTGGATAAAAGAAATGGTGGTTGCCCTAGGTTTTACTTTATTGGTCTGGCAAGAGGCATGTTCAGTTGCTTTGGTGTAATGTGTTACTTTCTGTTCAAACTTTTTGTCATATATACGCCACTTTGTATTAATTCATGTTAGGCGTTTAGCATTTTTTCGTATGTTTTGGAAGGTTATTAAAGATGGAGTGCATCTAGCGTGCCTTGGTGTTTTGATTTCACTAATAATAAAGTGCAATCCCAGATTCCCTTTTAAGGTTTTGTGTTGACTTCAGAGAAATGAACTCTAAATAACACACATATTTTGGCATTTATGTAAGGTTTAGTTGTTTTTAAGGTTTTGTGTCGACTTCAGAGAAATGAACTCTGACTAACACACATATATTATGGCATTTATGTAAGGTCTAGTTGTTTTGGATATTATTTCTTCGATTAGTTAGTTCTAGGGTTAAGGAATAGATAAGAATCATCAGGTGGTTGTTGAAACAAAGTGGACCCAAGATGAAATAAGTTTCTAGGTTGGATCTGTGTTTCTATTCACTAACGGTTTGTGTATTGACTTTGCATGCCAATAGGAGGGCACATGTTGTTTTGGTGAGTTGTTATTACTAACGGTTTCTTGCTGTATTATCCATATATACCATGCCGTTGCTGGCATTATATGTTTAAGTAGTTTATAGATTTGTCACTAGGATTCCCCTGGCTTATACTCGTGTTAGTTCCTGACTTTTAACTGTGTTGTATGAGCACCATGTGCTGGCTAATAGAGTATCCAATGGTAGAAGCACTATGTGCTCAATGTGTGTAGGATTCCAACGCGTGTATGCTAGTTGTTCAAAGTTCAGAATCGTGAGCTTTGCCCACAGTATTGAAGTGTATGGTTATTTTGTTAATTTGGTAGTAGGTGTCAAAACCACACTGCTTAGAGGAGACTAGGTTGCATAGGAACAATTTTCTTATGTCATGTCCCCTCTCCAGTTACCCTCTTTCAAATACAAAAAGAGACAATACTGGTACCTCGGGAGTGGAAGCCACATATTAATGTGGTAAAAATGATAGTGGTTTGTAAGTGAAAATTCTCGGCTCAGTGAGTCCTTTCTTCCGTGATGAACTGTTGGCACCAGTCCTACATTTTGTCACTGTGGACTGAGGAGAAAGTGGGGCTCAGTGGGAAAAGTTGGAATGCAATTGAATTTGTGTAGTCAACAGAAAACATATTAAATGCTTTGCAAGGATATGTCAACATCCAATTGCTGAAAATATCTCTCCTAGTGGCTTACTTCCTTTGTCTGAAATCCATGCTTCAGCCCGTAATGCTCCACAGTTGAGGAATTAATAATATTAGAGTTAATTCTTTGCAGTGAACCTTGTAGTGGGACTGGTTTCTCTAGTACTCATTTGTCCTGGCCAATTCGATGACCCATCCTTTGCTGTTCTAAGATGAGTATTCCTACTCTATTTTTCTCCTATCACCGATGAGTTATCTGTCTTTTAGTTTTCTGTATCCTGTTTCCAAGAAGATTGGTGAACTAGAACTCTAGATGTCGGTTAATTGGAGAGAATTGATGCAGAATAGATACTTCTCAAAGTGTGCCTTTAAGGATTTTGATTGATACGCATTTGACATGATACATTCTGGATTCTTCCGGGTGCATATCCAAATACTTCACAAACATATACGGAGTTGGCGGAAGGTTTGTACTTTGCTTTTTTCTTTATTTTCCTTCTTTGTTCAGTTAGTTATTAGTTTCTTTTTCAAGTCACTCTTGTTTTAATGTGATTAAGTGTTGATCTGTGAAGGATAGAATAACCTTTGTCTATCACGTCCGTAAGTTGTATATGCCTACCTACTGTGAGTTTTCATGAAATGTGTTGATGCACAAAATCAATGAGGACTTTGTTACAACAGAAAGTGTCAAGTTTGTGACATTCGCTAGATTGCTCCGATCACTAGTGTGGATAAGTATGTAAATGGATAGAGATAGGGAAGCAAATATAAGATGTACGTGGTTCACCCAGATTTGCTACGTCTACGGAGTAGAGGAGTTTTCATCAATTGTGAAAGGTTTATACAAGTATATAGGTTCAAGCTCTCCTTTAATGAGTACTAGTGAATGATATAGTACAAATGACATTAGAAAATATTGTGAGAGAATGATCTCTATTTATATAAGAGAGTTTCTAGTTTCATTCTGATATTGACATGTGTCGTGTTGTGATTGACTTCTGATGTTGACACGTGTCGCGATGTGATTGGCTTCTGACGTCGACACGTGTCGCACTGTGATTGGCCTCCTGGTTGGAGGGAAACTCTTCTGAGTCTTTGACGGTATAACGTTGACTGGTGCTCAATAGTTTCGGGATTGGTCAAGTATGGTACAAACAGTGCTCCCCTAAGTCCCCGAGTGAGGGAAGCTCCTCGGTTGGGGACTTGCAAAATCCAAGCCGCTGAGTAATCACGAAACTTCTAAGTACTGAAATGTGGTATCGTCTTCACTTGCTTTATCTGTCTCATAGGTAGATGTGGTGTGCTTCTCTAAAAGTACTCTTCCTCCATCTAGGGGTGGTATCTTTAACCGGTGGAGATGCACAAAGTAATGTATCAATTTCACTTGAAGTTTACTAGTAGTTTCAAGTTTGGTCAAACGCGATACAAACCATGTAGTAGGAGTTCCCTAAGCCGTCGAACTAGGAGATCTGCCAAATGAGGTAACAGACAAGGTAATCAATCAGATTTCCAAGCAAGCAACCTGGATCTGAGGTTCAACTTCGGCTTTCGGTTGATTGTTCTCATTCTCCTTGTGTTGTAAACAGCAACAAGGATAAAGAGAAGCAAATAGAGGAGATGATATGATATACTTTTGCTTTTGAAGAAATAACTTTCCACAAGCTTATTCTTGAACTGGGCTGGAGGGTTTTCTGGTTTCCTCCAGAGTATAAGCCCGACTCAAGAATTTGAGGGTCAAAACAAGTCCATCAAATCTAGAGTATGTTGACCCTGATGATATGTGATACTTTTGCTGTTGACAAAGTAGTGGATGTATCGGCACATATTCTGTAACGCTTATCTCCACATGCTTCCTTGTATTATTATCACTTGTCCTATTTGTTCCTCAGGTAGATGTGGTATCTTCTTTGGAAGCATAAGATGTTGAAGATGAGTACTCGAGAGCAATGTCAGGTAAGTAATCTGATAAGCTCATATTTATATATATTTTACATAAAATTCACTTGTCTTTTCTTAGTTAGTTCCTTATATTTTTGAGCTATTTACTATGTTTTTGTGTTTTGTGTGATTTATCAAGCAAAGAAAAGAAAAATAGCACAAGTGAATTATTAAGTAACAAATTCGTCAAAATTGCCTGTGCAGATTATCTGACTTTGGAAGCATGTTACAAACATCTCAGAATGAATGGGAGAATGAGCCTTATATGCGTGGAAAGCTACGAATGTCTATTTTCTGGAGCAATTTACGGATTGTTAATCTCATTTTTCTAGAAGAAGTTATGGGCATTGTAACACTGAAAGGTCAGAAAAGGGCTAAGCAGATTTGGCTAATAAAAAGAGAAAGGCAACACATGGGCAAAGGAAACACACACACATGGGCAGAAAATTGGTGGATTGTTGGCTGAAATAATGAAGAACATGTGTCTGCAAATGCAAAGGAAAAACACACACACATGGGCAAAGGAAACACACACACATGGGCAAAGGAAACACACAACACATGGGTAGGAAATTGTGGGTGTTGGTGTTTGGTGGTTGAAATGATGAAGCATGTGTGTGTAAATGTAAAGGAAAACATGGCAGAAAATGTGTGTGTTTGGTGGTTGAAATGATGAAGCATGTGTGTGTAAATGTAAAGGGGAAACATGACAACTCACACCCATACAAGATGCACATGCAAAGGAAATGGAGTGGTCCTCTCTCAAGCCTATAAATACCACCTCCCATATTCATCAACACAACAGATTTTGATCCTTGTTTGGCCGAAAATTCCCACCTCCATTCTCTCCAAATTCAGCCAAAAACCACCCATCAATCCTAAACCTTTCCATACCATTCCCCATCTGTTCTACACCATAAAAACCACCAAAAACCGTCCAAAACCTCTAGTGCTGCTGCTTGCAAGGAAGGAAAGAGAAGGAACATCTTGTGCCGTGCCTATGCCCAAGCCTTTGGAGTGTTGGAGCGTTTCTAGGTGTTTTCTATCTTTGTTTTTAATGTCTAAATTTATGCATCTTTGCTTTGTAAGTATGAGGAACTAAACCCTCTTAGTTAGGGGGTGATTCGAAACTATGTTCATGCTTGCAATATGATTTGATTACATCCAGTTGTGATTCATAAGTTGTGAATTCAATTTACTTATCCGTTCGTATAAAAACTGATTTGTGTATGTTGGTTGAGAGTGCACGCTTAATTTTCATGCATGAATTTGACGCTAAAATATAAGGGAGTTTCACCTAATCGTTATGAACTTATATTCACAAGTAGTGAAGGTTGCTAGTCACAATCACGTTAAGTAAATTCTTGGCATAAGTTTCATGCAAATCATAGTAACGAGTGCCTCGTCAATGCTTATGTTTTTTCATAGAACTTAATGATTCTTGCTTGTATCTCTATTATGCAATTC